ATCAGTTTTCTATCTATTGATGTATGGGTTTGAAGTCTTCTCCCACTATTTTGTCTCTGGCACTGATCCAACTTGTTTGATTGATAAGTCAAAGTGTTATAGGACAGGGAGAGGGGCAGCCCAAACCCCGCAAACCTGCCTATTCTAAATGGGTTCTGCCATCTGCCGCATCAACACAAAACATATGACACTTTAATGGAAAGGAACTTTAATAAAAACTAGGAAACAATACAGGTAAGGCAAAGAGTCTAGTTTCTAAATGAAGCACCCAAAGTTACCCATCCCCTCGTGGGTAAAACTCCATCCATATGGGGTCGGCCCAGAGCAAGGCCCCAAAGCCTGCCACAAGTCTAAAACATCTTCCAGTGGGGACCCACAGAAAAGGGTCACAAACAACCGGACAAGCCCGGAAGAAAAAGAGCAAAATCAACATCCAGATAAAAGCTGCCATTGTCACCTCCCCACGGGTCTCACCCACATCTGTGTCACCCAGTCCACGACCAAAAGACAAGCTCAGTTTCTTCACATGTCTCTAGGCTCCATGCGCCTCCTCCAGGTCTCCTGGCTCCATCCTGCTTCCTTCCTCAGTCTCTTCTGCAGCTTCTCCTCTTCCTGCTCAGCTCCACCCTCCCTTGGGTGGGGCAGGGAACCTCCCCCTTTCCTGGGGACCACCCTGTTGCAATAGCATATGCATTGAGTGTGATTATTGCGATGTGAGTGCTTGCTACAGCTATTTTTTCTTTAGGTTTCTTATTTTCTTGTCAATTTTTTGCTCTTTTTCATTTAGATATGTGATCTCCTTTGTGCTTTTCTTATAGGGGAGGTTTACTGTTAGCAAACTCTTTCTGATTTTGTTTGTCTGGCAAGACCTTTGTTTCCCCTTTATATCTGAAAGAGTGTTGCAGGATGTAGTATTCTTGGCTGTCAGTTTTTATCTTTTATATTTTTGAATATGTCATTCCATTTTCTCCTTGACTGTAGTGTCTGCTGAGAAGTGTGATGAAAACCTGATGGAGTACCTTTATAAATTAACAGAATTTTTCCTTTAGCCTCTTTCCATATTCTTTTTTTTTTTTTTTAAGAAGTTGGGGATAGTCCAGAGTCACTGGGATTGAGAAATTCACCAGAGAGAGCAGGGAACAGTACAGGCCGATGTACTGAAATACACTGCTGAGGGGAGCAGCCGGCTTCCTGGCCGGCCGAGGGTGGAACTCGTGCTGCACAGGCCACGGACAGCTTCTTAGAGCTGTGCTCTAACCCCTGCACCACCAGGGAGGCCCCCTTTTCCATATTCTTTCTTTGTTTTGAACTCTTGGTAGTTTCTCTACTGTGTGTCTAGTGTAGGTCTCATTACATTTATGTAACCCTTTGTTCTTTTAGCTTCATGGGCTTACCTATTTTGTTCCTTCTCCAGATTTGGAAAGTTTCTACTTTTATTTCTTTGGATGAATTCTCACCCCTTTACCCTGTTTCCCGCATAACCATTGCTTCATTTATTATTTTTGTTTGTTTGTTTGTTTGTTTGCTTGTTTTCAACTCCTTCCATTTGGGACTTTTGTGCATTGTGATATTCTTTGTCACTCAGTTGATTCTCTATTTGCTCTATTCTATTTCCATAGCTTTCTCTAGAATTTTTTTGTATCGTCTGTTGAGCTCTTTATATCTCCGTTATTTTGAATATTGATTTCTCTTTGATTAGCATTGTTGTGGTCTTGCATCACTTTGGCTTGCTTTTTTGGGTTTTCTTCCATTTCTTCAAGTTTCTCATAATGACTTTGAATTTTCTCTCCTTGAGATGTTATATTTCCTTGTGGTCTTAAGGTGACATGTGTTATATATTTTTTATATACACCTTTTGCTGATTTTAGTGTTTCTGTTATCTTAAAATGCCTATGACTTTAACTTAGAGCTTCATTGTTTTAACTTTTCTTGCAGGTGGCACCTTGGTTTTATTTCACTTGATTTTAATTTTTTTTTGTCTTTGTTGGCTTCCATAGGTCCTGAGACTTGTTTTGCAGTTGTTTTGTCAGTGGTATGGTTAAGGGACCTGGGGGTATCTAGCCACTGCTGTGAATGCACCTGAGGGAAGGGCTAGCTTATATTGTGGCACTTCCACTATCTTTCTTTTTTGGGGGTCCACATCTGAGACTCTGTAGTCTGTAAGCTGTCAGTGTGCTTTATGAGTTCAGCAGCAATCCTAAGCGGTAAGTAAGGGGTATGCAGTCCTGTTCAGAGTCTCTGATCTTCTTACATGAGCTCTTGTTTGTGTTGAACATCCCAACTCCTCTGCATGTGTTTTCCCTTGGTCAAGGGTGTGTGCCTATACACCCATTTGTTCTCCCCTTATTGGGCCCCTGGCTGAGCCAGAAGTGTTGTTGCCTGGACTACAGTCTCCAGGTTTCTCTGCTTCCACCTCTTTTTTGATGAATAGTGACACCCACTTCTATCATCTCTTTTCTTTGTTTTCTGTGTTTGTCTCCAGAGCAAGAGGAATTTTGGTTTCACTTGAAGCTTTGGGACTCTTATATGTAGAGTCTCTCTAGTTTATAGTTAGATAAATCTCTTGGGAGCAAAGCAAGAACCTCTTCTGTTACCTTCTTAGTCCACCCTTTCCTTTTTAACTTTTTTTTTTAATTTTATTTTTATATTCCCCATACAATTGCTATCCCCTTATTTTGACCCCAATCCCTCCTTTCCCTGCCCCCCAACCCCATAGAATGTCTCTGGTTCATAGTTGTTTGTTGATTTTGATTTTTACTTCTTATACTTATTCTTTTTCCTGGTCTCTTATTTACTTTTCTAGATTCCTGCTATGAGTGAGACCATCCGGTATTTTTCTTTTTCTTTCTGGCTTATTTTGCTGAGCATGGCCCCACTGACTGGGAGAACATTTTTGCACACAACACTAATGATAAAGGACTGTTCCTTTTTAACTTTTTAATCTTTTCTTTTCTTTTTTTTTTTTTGAAAATAATACATATAGACATAATTTTCTTCATATGGCTATATCATAATTCATTCTTAGCCTTTTTCTTGTTCACAAATTATGTTGATTCCATAATTTTGTTATGATCTATATTCCAATAAATTTATTTTTGTATACTTTTAATAAGAAGACAGAGAATGGATTTTTGGTTTCAAAGGTAATTACAAATTGCATTTGTAATTTTGAAGAATATTAGCCTTCCAAAAAGGCAGTGTATATTTTGAATTTTGAAGCCAAATTGCCTTCCAAAATGGTTTCGCCTGTTTGCACACTCCTATCAAGTTTATCAGAATGTCTATTTTTACACCTCATTCATTAAAAACTTTTTTCCCAATTCTGATGATTGAAAAATGGTAACTTGTTTTAAATTGTATTTCCCCTTTTTCTCTTTTCTGTCTTTTCTTCTTCAATCTTTCAATATTTCTGAATACCTACTAGGTATCTGGCAATGTGGTAGATGACTGAACACACATAAACACTTATATTTGCATACATGAACAGATATATTCTGTAAATTGTCCTTAGAAAGATGGGTTTATGCTTTGTGCTTATTGTTGTTGCTTTGTGCTTTTACTCTGCCTGTTCCAGAACTCCAGTGATCCACCAGCTCCAGCTAGTAGCTATGGTACATTCTTGGTGATCTAGCTAAATCTTCCTCATGCTATCTGTGAAATTATCTGCCAGTCTCACATTCAGTCTTCATTCCTTGGCAATATTAATTGTTCCATCTTCTGACTCCCCATAGCTATTTATTCATATTTCTGCTATTACTACTTTGTCCAGCTTGTATTGTATTTTTCCTAGATTTTTATATATTAAGTTTTTCTAGATAATCCTTCAAACATGTTTTTATATACAGGGGTATAAATCATTTGACTAAAGCCATATGAAAATTTATTCCTAGGAAACTGGTCCTTAATCAAAGCCCCTGAAAATTATATCATCTAAGTCTTTTTTTTTTAATAGAGGCATGTTTTATTTATGTATTTATTTGTTTGTTTGTTTGTTTGTTTTTGTTTATACATGCACTGGGTACAGTCAGAAGCGTGGGAGGGTGAGAGAATTCACCAGAGCCAGAGCAGGGAGCAGAGCAGGCAGAAGGACCAAAGTACACTGCTGAGGGGAGCAGCGGGCGGCAGGAGAGGTCTGTGCACCATGTGGGACCCTCCTCTGGTGGCCGGGGAGCAGCCGGGGATAGAACCTGCACCGCAGAGGCCGCGGGCAGCTTCGCAACCCAGCGCTCAACCACTGCACCACCGGGGAGGCCCTATATCATCTAAGTCTTAATTTTTATTTATTCTACTGTAATCTCAGTTTCAGTGGAAGCATAAGAAAGACACTGAAAAGTTGTGTGATAGCACCAGTAGGATAAAAACTAATTCATCCATATATTGAAAATTGATCTAAATTTTCCAGGAGATAGGGAGTTGTGTATACTCCTTTATATCTTTATGTGACAAGATATGTCTGAAGGAAATATTACAATTGCAATATTAATATTTTATATTTCTGGGTAATAGGAACATATCCCCCCTATGTGAGTATTATCACTGCTTTCAATGTATTTAAAAGATTGTAAATTCTTACATCTTTGCAGTCTACAACCTCTTTGAAGTGTAAAAACCACCTCTACATTTTTTTATCATTTTTGATTCTCTATTAAGAACTATAAGTTAGCAATTGTGATAGAGTATATGATTGCTTCCATATTATAGCCAAAGAATCCCAAAATGGTCAGAGGGTAGATTTCAGGCCACTGCCACTAGCTTGTAATTAGCCATTAAGATTAAGGTCTTCTGACATCATCCCATGCTCTTCTCTGACCTGAATTTTGTACCTGTTATAATCTCTAGTATTGTGAAAGCTTAAAATAACTTAACTGAATCTCTTATTTCCATTGGAAGAACTGTATTACATGAATAATGCTTGACTCTATACCTTGCAGAATCTGTGGAGTTTTCTGTTACCAGTGATTTAATTTTTGGTCAAAATTTTTTGTTTTCCTTTTTATCAGGATCCTAGAAATCTTCTCTTCACAACTGGTAAGTTGTTATTCATTACTCTTTCTGAAGATTTGAATATAGCCATCATCAAGTTGCACAGTGATTAAGCATATATTAAAATGTAATATATGGAAAATTTGTCTCTCAGTACAAATATTAGCAATTCAAGCATATAGTTGCAGTGAAAGCAGAGGGAAGGCAAACAGCTGGGCTTCAAATTAATGAAGAATAACAGTAAGCAAGCACAGTCACCTTTCGTATGTATCAATGTTGTTTTTATAATTCAGTAATTTAGCAGAATATTTTATTTTAAAACCTTTAAAAATGAAAAGAAAATAATTTATTTTTCTTGAAATATCCATGATACCTTAGTCTAGAGTATTAATTTGTTAAGGAATAATGAATATCTCAAAAATTTGCTCTTATATTAATGCAGTTTCTTACTAAAATTCACCTTTCTTACCTTACATTTATAATGACATAAGGAGGTCTATGTATTTTAGGGATTTTTAGAATATGTTTCAGGGAAAGGGATGATTGAGTAGTTGAGATAGTTTATCTAAAAGCTTGAAAGGAACATCTTAATAAGAATCAAAATTACATATGGGACTGAGGCATGGTCTTATCAACTGCATTGTTTTTCTTTTAAATCAATTTTATAATGGGAAATTGAGAATAATTTAGGTATTTTCATTCTTTATATACCAATTATATTTTTAGATTTTTAACATATATTTTTGTTTTTGCCTATAGATATATGATATTTGTCACATATCTTGTATACATACTCACAAATTTTTCACATTTTTCTTCTTAAGAACTCAATTTAGTTTTGTTTATGACTTTGCTTATTGTGATTTTCTTTTAAGTCTTAAGAATTCAATGAGAAATAGAAGTGGAAAAAGCAGAAAAACAAAACCATATGTATAATTCAGTGGATTTTTTTTTCTTCATATGAATTAATTTAAGAGAAGAAAACAAGAATTATGTTTTAATAATATTTTATACAACACAAAGTATAGTTGGGGCCTTGGAGCATTTGAAGTATTTATAAAAGTTTAGTTTGCAAAGATGTAAAATGATTTCTTTATATGAAAAGTTATTGCATATAAATAGTATAATGCTTCCATATAAACAGGTGATCTCTCCACCTAGCATAACACTACACCATCCTACAATTTTTCACGTGAGTGGTATTGGGCAGTGTTGAGCCAATACTTAAAATATATTTCCTTGTTTCATCCTGGAGAGTCTCTGTGGTAGGGCCTTGAAATATTTTATTAGCCTTCTTATATACCTGGGAAACTACTGTTTTAACCTTACTGAGTAGCTTATCATACCCTGGAACATAACTTTGCACTATTACCTACATTCAGTGCAAATCCTCCCTAATCCTATTAGGTAGAACCTGTCTCTTCTCTTCCTAAATATACATAGTAAAAATATTATTTTGTACATAACTTATTCACTTACATATGTTGTATTTTCTACTTGGAGTTGAGCTTTTCCAGGGTGTGGCAGGACTGTCCTTGGGACATGCAGAACTTCAGACATTTTTTTTTTTTAAATTTCTGTCAGTGCAAACCATAAATCAGCATGTCATCATAATTTTTTTTTTAAAGATTTATTGATTGATTGATTTATACATACATACATACAAGTACTGGGTACAGTCAGAAGCACGGGAGGGTGAGAGAATTCACCAGAGCCAGAGCGGGGAGCAGAGCAGGCAGAAGGACCGAAGTACACTGCTGAGGGGAGCAGCGGGTGGCAGGAGAGGTCTGCGCGCCATGTGGGACCCTCCTCCGGTGGCCAGGGAGCAGCCGGGGATCGAACCGGCGCCGCAGAGGCTGCGGGCAGCTTCGCAACCCAGTGCTCAACCGCTGCGCCACCGGGGAGGCCCCATCATAATTTTTTTTAATCCAGTCTCATATAATTTCATGAATGAAATACTGTGCTATGCAACAGGATCCATCCATATCCCAGGTCATCAACCTGGAAAGTGAATTCCCCTAAGTATGAGTGTAGAGCTCCTAGGACCTCCCTAGGAGGCCCACTGATGATCCCACTGAAGAGCAGCCGGTAAAGGAATGAAGCATAATCTTAGTGTGGCAAGGGATGGTAGATACTTTATACAGATAGATATAGTCCCTTTTTTGATTACTAACACATATCTAAAACTATCTCATAGCTACTACTGAACATTTCAGGTACTTGGAAAAAAAATTAAACTCTTGATGAAGAAGTACATATTTTTAGATTTCCTAGTGACAAAAAATATGTTTTATTATTTGATTTTTCCTGGATTTTAGTTTGTTTAATGTTGCATATTTTCTCTCTATCTTCAAAATATTCTAACTGTAACCTAAGACTGACAAAAATTAAGATTTTTTTCACAGAAAGTAAAGCCTCTGACAGTACTAGTGTCATAAAATACAGTAATTATACTCACTAAATAAGAAATGTTAGAAATATCCCAAGTAAATATTTATATAATTAAATATGTTTAGAAGATTGGAGTACAAACCAGCATGAAAAAATGTACATATTCACCATTCTGAATGGAATATTTGAAAACACAAAAGTGGGCTCTTCAGTTAAAGCTAGAAAATACTGCTTCGTTGGGTGATTGTAGAGTTGTAGGGATTTGTCCATCTCTTCTATATTGTTGAACTTGTTTCCATATAACTGTTCATAGTAGTTTCTAATTATTCTTTTGATTTCTGCTGTGTCCGTTGTGATTTCTCCTCTTTCATTTGTGATCCTGTTTATTTGTGCTTTCTCCCATTTTTCCTTTATAAGCCTGGTTAGATCCAGAAATTCCACTCCTAGGTATTTACCCAAATGACACAGAAACAGTAATCCCAAAGGGCACCTGCATCCCTATGTTTATAGCAGCACTATTTACAATAGCTAAGCTATGGAAACAACACAAATGCCCAAAAATAGATGACTGGATCAAGAAAATGTGGTACATATACTCAATGGAATATTACTCAGCAATCAAAAAAGATAAACACATGCAGTTTGCAGCAACATGGATGGAGCTAGAAGGGATCATGCTCAGCAAAATAAGTCAGAAAGAGAAAGAAAAATACCGGATAGTTTCACTCATAGCAGGAATTTAGAAAACCTAAATAAGAGACCAGGAAAAAGACTAATCAATACAAAGTAAAAATCAAAATCAACAAGCAACTAAAAACCAGAGACACACTACGGGGAAGGGGGGAAGGAGGGGCGGGGAAAGTAAGGACTAGAGTCAAAATAGGGGGGGAGGTGCAATTGTATGGGGAATGTAACCAAGATGAAAATGTACACATTGTGCAAAGATGAAAAAAGATGTAAGAATTATATAAAATAAAATATTTAAATAAAAAAGGAAAATACTGCTTCATCTTATGGTCTTTGAAATTGTGCTAATTCAAAAAAAAAATCAGAAAAGCAAAATTTTTTGAGTGAAAACATATAAGGAAGTGCAATTTGAATGCATTTCCAGTAAAACAACATATTACTTTGGGGTTTAAGGCAATTTTTTTGTACTTTTTATTTTTAGTGTGACTTAAATTAAAACATACTTCTTTACATTTCTATAGTTCCTGGCCTGACAGGAGTCTGCATGGTATTGGTGCTATTCCTGATGATCACAGCTTCTACATATGCCATACGGTAAGTATCAGAGGCATTATTTTGATGTTTACTCATCAAATTATTAGATTTATTTCAAATTATCCTCATTTTCATTTGTAGAAAAGGTCAAAATGTTTAACCAATACATTGTTCTGGTTAATGGGTTATTCTGGGCAAGTGAGAAGTAGAAACATTTCTATGTATCATTTCCTGTTTTTGTGAAAACACTTTGTATTAGTCATAATGTGGGTTGGTAAGGAATCATGTATGGAGAATTTTTGATGAGAAAGCTGAGCTTGTCAGGGTCATTTTTCTGAGAATACTGTAACTATGTTAGACATGGGATGACTTCAAAGTAAATGCATAGGGACCTTGGGGATTCCTTGAAGAATTGCTTTATGAACTCATTTCCTGATATGGGTTTGTTTTGTTGTGATTTAGTGTAGTTTTATAAACAAAGCTTTGGAAACACATTCAGTTCATGTCTGCTAGAATATTCAGAAATATATGCTTCACATGTATTTTTCCATTTGTGACATCACACAAATACACATTTTCATGAGCATTTCCACGTTCTTTCTGGTGAATATTCTTTTTCTCACAATAATTTACAGTTTCATATGTTTCTGGTCAAGAAAAATATCTTATGCTTTCGGTTAAGAAATAAAAAAAGAAGCAGCAAAATATATTCTAATCTTCAAAAATCTTAAGTAATTCTACTTGCAGGGAGATGAAACACCTCTGGAAAAACACGAACACACACCCCAAAACCTCATCACTAGAGAGTAGCACTATAAACTTTCTGATGTTTATGTCTATAAACTAATCCTTCTTCTTATATTGTTCATTCATCCCCATCTCCTAGCTCCACCATAATGTATTTGTTTTTTAATCACTCTCCTTCTTCATATAGCTATGTGTTATTTTTGCCAAAATAGAATCATATTATGCATACTACTTTAAAATCTGCTTTTCCCTTAAATCAGTGTAATAAAGCTTTTTTCCACATTAATAGCTATTTCTCTACACATCTGAAGACTGACTGCAGAGCATTTTATCATATCATGCTTTGCATTACTTTCCTAGTTAGATGGTTAGGTTGATAACATTTCTTTCAATGTTTAAATTTGGAAACTACCAACCAACCCCCATCCATATGTCTTTCTATACTTTACTCAATTATGTCCTAAGAAATATACATGGATGTAGAATGGCTTGGTCAAATAGTAAGCATATACGCAAAATATTTTACAAAATTAAAAATAACTTTTCATATTAGAAAATCTCTACTGTTAATGCATGCAGGTACCAATTTTGTGGACAGAATTTTTATTTTATTTAAGTAACGCATTGGTTTAAAAACTTGCCTTTTTCAGTTTTAGGAGTTTTTGAGAGATTAGTATGGTGTGCGGCATATTGATTTCTAGATGAAAGAGTTATGAATGTTCTATAGCTACAAAAAGTACCCTTATGAGACATGGTTTTGTAAAATGGAATGGAAAGATCAGTGTATATTCTCAACTTAACCATATATTCTACTCATAAGCAATTCTGTGTAGGTTTCTTAATCATCAGGTTTTTTCTCATTTTTTTAATGGTGATTATAAACCTCTACTTTTTTTGTTAAGTTTTATTGTGAGAGTCAGAGAATTCTTAAATTATTCATTTATATAACCTATCTTTTTTTACTTGCTAGTGAGAAAAGAATGTATTAGAGAAATTAAGTGCTTGATTTCTGAATGTAAAATATAGTCTAGTAATTCACCAGTGATATAATATGGTCAATCTATCAAAATAAGTAATATATACTAATAAAAGATAATAGTCATACAAACATTTCATTTCAGTAGGTTTTCAAATGACAGTCACTAAGTCTGAACTCTAGTTCTGGATTAAAATAATAAATCTAGGAATTCGTTTTATATATAGAATTAAAAATGTGAAAGTCAATCTTGAAACCATACTTAACTGTGAAACAGATTATTTTGAAAAAGTGAGCATAATAATTATAATCCAATCATTATGCATGATGGAGTTTTAATATGGAAATAACATAACAAGGTGTCATTTTTAAGTTGTATTACACTGTCCGGGGAAAATAATATAAATAATATAAAGCTTTAATAAGTATTTATTTAATTTCTCTCCATTTTAGTTTCCTTCACACTACTATAAAAATATGTATAGGGTTAGGGACATTGTTTTAGGAATCATTTGAAAATTGAAAACATTGCTTAAATGGACAACAAAAGTAAACATTAGGCTTAAATTTTAAAATTTAATAATTATTAGTTATTAAATATTGAATATTATTAAAATATTAAATAATTATTAAATATTAATAATTTCAAAATAAACACCTTATTTTAATTCTATGTATCTTTATTTGAAATACAGAGAATATTCAAATTGATGAAGTGTTATAATTTTTGTGCTTCCCTCCGCATGGCTTGTTAATTTCATATTAATAGGTAAATTGGAGATGAAATCATATTTTAACTCCCTTAAATTGTGACATGTTTTTGAAATGATGCACAATCTTTTTCGTGAGAAGAAATATTAAGTGGCTTTGAAATGAAGTTATTTGTTTTTTCAGAGTTTCTAACTATGATATCTTCTGGTATACTCATCATCTCTTCTTTGTCTTCTATATGCTGCTGATGTTACATGTTTCAGGGTAAGTTCTTTTTTTTTTTTAATTGTGCATTCCTGAAACCAAGTAATGAAAGACAAATCTGTGGGAATTTTCATTGTGTAACTAATTTTCATTTGGTTACATAGAATTAGGGTAGGCTCAGGAGTGGGAGAAATATTTCAGTGTTCAACATAGCATATTTTAATAATAAAAGTATGTTAAATGAAAAGTCAGAGTTGATTCCCTCCTAGAATTATGGTTTTTAAAGCCCCTGCAGATATGTCATGGTAGCCTCAATAAATAAATAAATAAATATATATATATATATATATATATACACACACAGAAGAATTTCAAGTAGATATTAGTGTTTGTATACTCAATAATGCCTTATGTCTTACTACTGCAAAATTTGTAATATCAAGTTACCAGTTAGTTTGAAAAGGACCAGAGACCATAATATTTGCAGAGAATACCAAAGGTTTACAGTGACCAAAGGCAAAGATCTGTCAAAAACACGAGACTCAAAAAGGTGAAAGAGGAAATATCCCAAAGTTACGAAGACTATAGCCGAAAATATTCTGAAAACTGTGTGAAGCCAAGCAGTATAATCAGTAGTATGGAAATTTAAGAAGGAAACTATTATTTTTGTATTCATGTATCTTTGTGATTGCTAGCAATGGATGGTATTGGCTGTCACTCACTCATATGCTCAACGAGGTGTTCACTGACATCAGGTCCTCTTGATGTCACAAAAAGACATGAGGCAGGAAATATGGACAGTCAGCAGAATGATGCTCTTTAATGAAAATCACTCTGGTTGTTCAGGAACCATTTTCTGCGTCCTCTCCCATTTGTACCCTGTAGTAACTTGGATTTGATATAAGGAGCCCATCTGGTCTGAGACCATCCCCACCTTTGCCTTGGGGAAGTCTCATGTTTCATAGGAGGCAGTATCTTGGTCGGGTCCAGGTTCTTCAAGGGAGGCTCTTAGTTGTGAGAATGCTCTGTCCACAGGAAGTTGAAGTCTGTGAGTGCTGACATAATTTTATAGTTCACTCACTGTTGTTGTGGTCCAGATGCATTCCATCAGCAGTAAACAGTGTTGCCTGGTAACACAGCTGGCAACCTACAGTGTTTTATATCCCTTTTATCTTAACCTACAGTGTTTCCAGGGAAACAGTGTTTGGAGAACCTCAGACCTGCTGTTAATCCTTTCTTTAGAATGTTTCTTTAGAATGTTTCATAATTTACATTTTCATTATAGTAAATCAAATCCATAAATTGCATATTTATTTCAGGATGCAGTCTCTAAATGTTTTTAGTCTGCCTGATTTTGGAGGTCACTGGTTTAGACAGCAGTGTTAAATGGGTCTCTCTCCCACATGTCCTGGTATACTTTGCCATGTAGCATGCTTCAAGAGCTACAGTAGTAGAGTGTTAGAAACATGGCCACACATGACAATCCCAACATCCATCTGGATGTTCCTGCCACACAAGGAAGACAGTTCTGGTGTGAAGAAGTTCCCGGTTCTTCTGTTTATTTCCCATCATGGCGATGACACATTCTGTGACACATTATGACATCACAAAAGCCTTTGGTAGCAAAATAATCTGCTTTAGATTTTCTACTTTAAATGTCTTGTTTGTCTGCTCAAGGTTGTTGTGGTAAAATGGACTTTGAGGAAGCAGAGGCTACTGATGATAAGAACAGTAATTAAAACAGTTACACAGACTATGCTCTATGCCAGATATAGAAGCAAAATGCTTTAGATACTTTTATGACATTGAAGGATCACAGTTTTATTTAGGGTAAATAATATTGGTGAAACTCACTTACAGGAGGGAAAATTGGTTTAGAGAAAGCAGGTAACATGATTGAGTTTACTTAACTGATGTATCCTGAGTTCATAGTAAAAAATTTGGACTTGAAAACTCATATTTTACTCCCAGGCTCTATATTATGGGAAAGCTCTGTACTTCTGGGAATTTGAACATAGATTGTTTTCTATTTCTTTATTGGGATTGTGATTTCTGTCTATCATCTATTGTATATCATCTGAGAGAAAAATGCAGTCATTTGTGAGTATAATTAATGTATCCATTTACTTTATGATACACTAAAGTTAAACTGAAATAAATCTATCTCTTTGTAATTCAAAAAAGAATAATTATTTTTAAAATTTCAGAAGTTTAAGCAATACTTAAATTTAAGAGGATTATATTGAAATTTCTATATTCAGCATTCAAGGGTTAGTTTTTAAGCTTGTCTTATCTGACCCTTAGTTTGATTTCTTTATATTCCACATATGAGTAGCACCAAACTTTATTCTTTTTTTGTCTTTCTCATTTTGAATTATTTCACTTAGCTTTATCCCTTCCAGCTCCAACCATGTTTATTATTTTATTATTTTTAAAGATTTTTATTTATTTATTTATTTATTTATTTATTTATTTATTTATTTATTTATTTATGTTTAATACCTGGGGTGTAGGCTAGAGGTCTGGAGACAGAGTCACAAGTAGAATAGGTGGATTTACTGAAATAAATCTGCTGCTGAGGGGACAGCAGCAAGGCAGGAGAGGTCTGCTGCTTCATGTGGGTTAGCTCCCTGGCCAGAGATTGAACTCAGACCAAAGTGGCTGTAAAGGTGATAGCTTGAAAGCGCTGAGACTTTAACCCATGTGCCATGAGGGAGGCGCCAGCTCCAACCATGTTGATGTAAATAGCATGAGATTATCTTTTATTGATTTCTGAGTATATTCCAGTGTGTATATGTACCACATCTTCTTAATCTATTCATCTGTGGTAGAGTACTTATACCATTTCCATAATGTGGATAATGTTATTACAATATGTTAAAACATAACACTCCACTAAACAGGAGTACAAGTTTCCTTTCAAATTACTATTTCTGAAATTTCCTAGTTGATGCCTAGGAATGGAATTTCTGGGTCATATGGCAGATCCATTTTTATTATTTTTTAAAAGGTTTATTTATTTTATACAAGAACCGGGGTACAGGCCAATTGCACTGGAGGATGAGAGGATTCACCAGAGCCAGAGCGGGACACAGAACAGGCAGGCTGACAAAATACATTGCTGAGGGGAGCAGTGGGCAAGACAGGAGATGTCTTCCCAACATGTGGGACCCTCGCCGGCCGGGATCGAACTGGCACTGCAGAGGCTGCGGACAGCTTCACATCGCAGTGCTCAACTGCCTGTGCCACCAGGGGAGGCCCAGATCCATTTTCAGTCTTTTGATTCAACCTACATATTGCTTTACATAAAGGCTGGGCCTGTCTGCATTCCTGCCAGCAGAATAAGAGGGTTCCCTTTTCTCCACATCTTCACCAGCATTTGTTATTTTTTGTCTTTTTGATGAACCATTCTCACAGGTGTGAGGTGGTATCTCATGGTAGTCTTGATTTACATTTCCCTGATAAGTAACAATGACAGTTGTTTCATGTATATGCCATCTGTATGTCTTCTTTGAAAGAGTGTCTTATTTCTTCTGCCCATTTTGATTGGGTTATTTGTTTTCTTTTTGTTGAGTTATATGAGCTCTTTGTAGATCTTAGATATTTGTCCCTTGTCAGCTGTATGGTGTTTCAATATTTTCTCCTTTTCTGTAGGGTGTCCTTTCATTTTAGTTAGTTTGCTTTAATCTTCAGAAGCTTTTTAGTTTAATGTAGTCCTATTGATTATTTTCTATTTTCCTTGATATTGGGGAAGAATTACTAAAGGCATATAGTGAAGCTTATATAGTGAAATATTTTGCCTGCATTTTCTTCTGTGTACTTTATAGGTTCAAATATTATATGAAAGTCTTTTATCCATTTTGAATTATTTTTTGTGGATGGTGTGAGAATGTGGTTTAATTTCATTCTTTTGCATTCAGTTGTCCAGTTTTCACAGAGCCATTTATTGAAGAGGCAATGGTTGTTTTAGCGTATGTTTTTAGGCCATTTCATGTAGATTAACTGCTCATATAGGTGTGGGTTTATTTCTGGGCTCTATATCCTGTTCCTTTGCTCTGTGTGTCTGTTTTTGTCCCAGTACTATGCTTTTTTAGTTAGCACGGCATTAAAATATAGTTTCAAGCCTGCAAGTATGATATCTCCTTTCTTTCTTTTTTGTCAGGATTGCTTTGAATATTTGGACTGTTTTGCAATTCTGTATGAATTTCAGTAGTGTTTGTTCCAGTGCTTCAAAGAATGCCATTGAAAATAGTACTGCTATAAACATAGGGGTGCAGGTGCCCTTTTGAATTAATGTTTCTGTGTCCTTTGGTTAAATACTTAGGAGTGGAATTGCTGGATCATATGGAAGCTCCATCTTTAACAGGTTGAGGAATCTCCACACAGCTCTCCATATAAATTTAGAAATAAGGAAGGAACAGGGAATAAATCTTTTCTAAGTACTAAAATAGAAAAAGGCTTCCATACAACCTCTGGGCCTTCATTTCCCTGGGCTTCTGTCACGTTTCCATTTGACTTTCTAAGAAAAGCAGGAGCCTTTTCTCAGTAGAGAGATTACCCAGTCTCTCCTTTGACATCAGTGTGGGAAAAAAATAGCACTCAGGATTAGCTGCTTCTAAAAGAGACACACTCTGGAATCAGCAGCTTTTTACAATTAAACTATACTGCAAAATGCACTCACCTCCTGTTAGCATATCCTTAATGTCCTTCTGAGGGCACAGTAGAGGGAGGATAATTCAGCACTAGAAGTCTAACTATATAACTATTAGTCTAATCATGTTTAACTTCTTGAGCCTAAATGCCTATGAAGCTCACAGTGCCTCTAATTCAATAGTCACCAATGACAAAAGCTACACACTGCATTCCCATGGTTTCAAGAATAAATGCATTTAAAAACAAGTGCATAGAAAACCATTGCTATTACGTTCCCTAGGAATGATGATTCAATCAGAATATAAGTCATGTTGTGTCATCATCTCTTACCAGCACATAGTGTCAAATGGCAGAAAGCTCCATTTAAAGAACACTGCAGGTGTCATTTGCATATGATCTGAGAAGTCCAGAAGCGTGCACAAGAAATTATTATTAAATGGCTCTCATTGCTATCCATATACTCGAGAAGGACCGTCTCCCTCTTTTTTAATCATCATATTATAATTCTGCTATCATGTAAATAAAAGAATCACACAATCATTGACCATGAAACACCCCTAAGTTGTAGTGAGTAGGACTGTTGACTATGGTAAGATTAAAAGAAAAGGTTGCTATATTTCATTTGCAATGCCCTCCTGCCACCTGTCAAAGGGAAAGAATTAGGTACTTGGCTAAGGCTTTGTGACATTCATAATTGTTTATATTTTTTTGCCATTATATCTCACATTTTAAGTGATAATGGCAGCGTGTGTCTCCTGATGAGTTTTTCAATATTTTGGAAAAAGAAATATCTGTCCGAAACCAACATGTCTAAAAAGAAGAAATGGTTTGGGTTTTTTTTCTCCCATGTCCTCTGAAATGGAATATTGTTAACGCACCAGACAAAAACCAAACTCCTGGAAACATAGGGGTGCAGGTGCCCTTTTGAGTCTACCTGTTCTGTTCCCCGCTCTGGCTCTGGTGAATTCTCTCACCCTCCCGCACTTCTGACTGTACCCAGTGCTTGCTTAAATAAATAAAGAAATATTTTAAAAAAAGAATCATATTCCGGGCCTCCCCTGGTGGCACAGGCGGTTGAGTGCAGTGCTGTGAAGCTGCATGCCATGTGGGACCCTCTCGAACGGCTGGGGATCAAACCGGCACTGCTGAGGCTGCGGGCAGCTTTGCAGCCCAGCGCTCAAAATCTGCTCCACCGGGGAGGCCCACGGAATATGATTCTTTTAATGCATTGTTGGATATGGTTTGTTAAGATTTTATTGAGGATTTTTGCATCCATGTCCATTAGGGAAATTTGTAAATTTTATTTTTATGTGTTGTCTTTGTTTGGTTTTGGTATCGGAGTAACTTTGGCCTTAGAATGTATGTTTGGGAAATGTCCTTCCCTTTCTAATTGCTCTTTGAAAGTTTAGTAGAATAAGTTTACTTCTAGGTATTTAATTGTTTTTGATGCCATTGTAAATGAGATCCTATTCTTGAAATATTCCTCTTCTAGTTCATTTTTGTATATAGGATGCAACTGACTTTTGTACATTTTTTTAACCTGCCAAATTTAGCTCAACTGATGTAGTGTTTTACTCCATTGATAATAAAAAACCCTAAAACAAACTGAGGCTAGATGGAAACTTGCTCAATGCAATAATTGCCTTGTATATAGTAAGCCGACTCCTAACATCCTCAGTTATGAAAATCTGAATTTTTTTCCACTTAGAGCAAGCATATCTACTTTTACCACTACTGTCCAACATAGTTGTGCTGCTTGAGATATTGTAATTGGATGTCCTTTAGATGGTAGGTTGGAGGTTATTAATCTGGATATTAATGACCATAGATAACTATTCTATATGCTCTTTTTTTTAAGATTTATTTATTTATGCATACAAGAGCTGGGGTACAGGCCAGAGGTGTGGGGGGTGAGAG